TGTTGAAACATCTTCAATTAGGCTGTTACAGTGTGTACTCCATTGCTTAACTGTACTGTAGTGTATGAGTGTCCTGGGTTTGCAATGACCCATTGAAAAAAAAGTAGAGATCTCCTTAACTTCTCTGTAGCTTTTCTTGGACTACAGTGAGACCAGCGCATGTATTTTCAAAGCTTCTCAGAGTAGAAGTGCTGATCTACAATCTGTTCCTGTCAGTAAAGTAACTGTAAATAAGAGAGAAATGTGAATCTAGATCAGCCGTCCTACTTTGAGAGAGTTTGTGAAGACGCCCCCTGATGGAAAGACAAAGAAGACTTTTGTTCAAGTCGCTCCTGCTGCTCAGATGTTTCTCCTGAGAAAAAGACCTCGTTAATCTCACATGCATCTCCTCTTAAGTTTTAGTAGAGATCTCAATAAAGTTACACATTGTGTTCAGATTTCCTGAGAAAATACAACTCATATTTACCTGCAACTGAACTCTCATCTTTCCTTCTTCTCTCCTGTATCTCTTTTATCCTTTTGTCTAATGCTTTCAAAGTGCTGCACTTGAGGAGCATAATTTTGCTTTGGAGACTGCAAATGAATATGTATGACTCCGCTGTTGAATATTCACGTTCATGTCATTGATCCTGTACTGGTCTGGGTCAAAAGGCCTCTACTGCCATCTAGAGCACAATGTGTGTAACAGCAGGATTGAGCGATCTTTGTAACTAATGTGTAATTAATCAGTTATATGTTCATAACACACAAATAAGCCATTATTTCACAATGAAGTATCGTACTTAATATTTGACAAATTATATTGTAAACAGAAATGTAATCATGATTCGCTTATGAAGTAACAGTCTACATATGATTATATATGTGTATATTCTTCTGTATTATAATTGTTTAATGATGATATAATCAGAAATTCAGATTTTATCCACTGTAAGGGAATAAAAATATATGAGTATTTTAAAAAGACATCTAATAAGTAATTGTAATCTTGGTTGCTAATGCAATTTGTCTTTTTTTTATAAAATCCCAATATGAAGAATGCTTACAATTTTAGACCCTATAAGATTCGGTAAAGGACTGGTAAACATGAACTGCTGAAATATGAGTGGAGTAGTCTAGTAGACTGAATCTGATTGAGTGGGGAATCTGGTAGACTGACTCTTATTGATGAGTGGGGAGTCTGGTAGACTGAATCTGATTGATGTGTGCGGAGTCTGGTAGACTGAATCTGATTGAGTGGGGAGTCTGGTAGACTGAATCTGATTGATGTGTGCGGAGTCTGGTAGACTGAATCTGACTGATGAGTGGGGAATCTGGTAGACTGAATCTGATTGAGTGGGAATCTGGTAGACTGACTCTTATTGATGAGTGGGGAATCTGGTAAACTGAATCTGATTGAGTGGGGAATCTGGTAGACTGACTCTTATTGATGAGTGGGGAATCTGGTAAACTGAATCTGATTGATGAGTGGGGAATCTGGTAGACTGAATCTGATTGATGAGTGGAGAATCTGGTAGACGGCAATCTGATTGATGAGTGGGGAGTCTGGTAGACTGAATCTGATTGATGAGTGGAGAATCTGGTAGACTGAATCTGATTGATGAGTGGGGAGTCTGGTAGACTGAATCTGATTGATGAGTGGGGAATCTGGTAGACTGAATCTGATTGATGAGTGGAGAATCTGGTAGACGGCAATCTGATTGATGAGTGGGGAGTCTGGTAGACTGAATCTGATTGATGAGTGGAGAATCTGGTAGACTGAATCTGACTGATGAGTGGGGAATCTGGTAGACTGAATCTGATTGAGTGGGGAATCTGGTAGACTGACTCTTATTGATGAGTGGGGAATCTGGTAAACTGAATCTGATTGAGTGGGGAATCTGGTAGACTGACTCTTATTGATGAGTGGGGAATCTGGTAAACTGAATCTGATTGATGAGTGGGGAATCTGGTAGACTGAATCTGATTGGATATTGAAGGAGTCTGGTAGACTGAATCTGATTGATGTGTGGGGAGTCTGGTAGACTGAATCTTATTGATGAGTGGAGAATCTGGTAGATGGGAATCTGATTGATGATTGGGGAATCTGGTAGACTGAATCTGATTGGATATTGAAGGAGTCTGGTAGACTGAGTCTGATTGGTGAGTGGGGAATCTGGTAGACTGAATCTGATTGATGAGTGGCTGAGTCTGATTAATGAGTGGGGAATCTGGTAGACTGAATCTGATTGATGAGTGGGGAATCTGGTAGACTGAATCTGATTGATGAGTGGGGAGTCTGGTAGACTGAATCTGATTGATGAGTGGGGGGTCTGGTAGACATCTTATTGATGTGTGGGGAGTCTGGTAGACTGAATCTGATTGATGGGTGGGGGATCTGGTAGACTGAATCTGATTGGATATTGAAGGAGTCCGGTAGACTGAATCTGATTGATGTGTGGGGTGTCTGGTACACTGAATCTTATTGATGAGTGGAGAATCTGGTAGATGGGAATCTGATTGATGAGTGGGGAATCTGGTAGACTGAATCTGATTGGATATTGAAGGAGTCTGGTAGACTGAGTCTGATTGGTGAGTGGGGAATCTGGTAGACTGAATCTGATTGATGAGTGGCTGAGTCTGATTAATGAGTGGGGAATCTGGTAGACTGAATCTGATTGATGTGTGGGGAGTCTGGTAGACTGAATCTGATTGATGAGTGGGGAATCTGATAAACGGAATCTGATTTGTGAGTGGGGAGTCTGGTAGACTGAGTCTGATTGATGAGTGGAGAAGTCTGGTAGACTGAATCTGATCAGTCAAAATGGTTTCAAATACAGTCATGAAATTTAATTTGACAATCAGTGGAATTAAATAGAGTCAAAGCAGCTTCCATGGCACTTCCACCCAACCTAGCCATGCATCGGTTACAGAACCTACAACCATTCCACTACTTGAATCTGCTTAGATTCAGTTTACCAGACTTCTGCATGCACTTGATTCAGTCTAACAGAAGCCTACAATAACCAGTCAGATTCAGATTCATGCAGCAGATATTCCACTAATATCTGAATTACACTCCTTTTTTGGATATATGTTTGCCATTAAGTCTGTGACAGAAGGCCTCTACTGCCATCTAGAGCACAGGGTGAGAAGGACAGTTCTAGCATGAGCGAACACTGCTATTATTTTCATAAGATACACACTTAGTTCAGTACAGAGATACAAAGAAGGGTTAGGATGCTCTGAGAAAAATATTCTCAAATGCTGAGTTTACTGCACATATACTACCCTTCTTTCTCTCTATGTACTCACTCAACAGTGCTCAAGTGCTGTAAAGTTATTTTTCCTTTGGCCTACTTTACCTTGGAAGCATTGCTTACAGTTTATAAGACTTTTGTAGTCATTACTAATAATATTTTTTTCTCAGTTTATTATTTTGTTCTTAACCATAGAGCGAGCGAACTCCTCAGTGTTCTCCATTTAAGAATATAAATTTCATAAAACAGTTTGAGAAAGCTGTGAAAACAGTGAACTGTAATCTGGAAAGACATCCATAATTATTCTGAAGCAGGCAATGAAAGCACCCACTTTATACTGCTATGTAAAACTATGTATATTACATTATTCTTCGTCTACACTGCTTTGAAATGTGTTTAAGGGTAGCTGAATGAATCAGCAGGGAAGATAAAACAGTCATATCTATTACAGTGTTAAAATATTTAATTACCCTTCTGAGTAATGCTACACAAATAGCCTTTATTACACACTCTAGAGAAGCTCAATGGAATGTACAATATTATTTATATTTCATAACTGCAGTGGGATTTGAACTGATGCATGGAAATGAAGCCATATTCAAGCACAGCACAGGTTAAATATCAATTTACATTAATAAGCCTGTAAGCAATTCTGACTAAGGCTTGTTACTATGTAACTTACATATTTGTTTCATAGTAGTTACTGAGTAATTCAAATACAAATTTTGTGATCGATGTTACAAAGTCAAACAATAAGAAAAGTGCAGCTAAGAAAAGTAAGCTAAGCTAAAGTACTGTTAGTATTTAGTGACAACACTAACTTGTGGCTCTGCACACTATTTTTACATAATTGTTTAAAAAAATAACCAAGGCTAAAATGAAAATTAGTTCCTTCAGAAATACACTACATGGCCAAAAGTTTGTGGACACATGCTCATCCAATGTTTCTTTCAAAAACAAGAGTATTAAAAAGCAGTTTGTCTCCTTCCGCTGTAGTAACTGTCTTTACTCTTCAGGGAAGTCTTTAGACTAATGTTGGAACATTGCTGTGAGGATTTGATTGCATTCAGCAGTGGGAGCACTGAGAGTGAGATCAGGTATTGGTGTTCGATGATCAGTTCTGGGTCACTCCAACTCATCCCAAAGGTATTGGATGGAGCTACATCACTCCAGGGAACACAGCTCTGCTACACAGCTCAATGCTGGGAGGCTTTATACCCCTCTAGATCACGCTTGGTATTGGGCATGGTGACCTTAGGCTCATGTGCGGCTGCTCCAGAGCATCCTGTTCTATTGGTCAGTGCTTTTCTATGGAGATTATAGAAGCTGTGTGTGCATTTGAACTCCTGCATCAGCAGTGAGTGCAACCAAATTCACTAATAAGAAGGAGTGTCCACAAACTTTTGGACATTTAGAGTACTTTTACTAAATGAGCAAAAATAAACTATAGCTGTGCATGCTTACATCACATACATATACAACAACAAATCACACAACACAACTGCATTTTTCACCAATTACAAAACACTTCATGCACCATATTAACTACTTAAAATACAAGGCTTATTACACACTATGGCTTATTATATAGTAACTACAGGATCTTCAATGCAAACTAGCTGATCTATTCTTTGGGCCTGTCGGTGGGCCATGGACATTTAGGACATTAATCACAATAACAATTAACACATTTGCACACTTCTAGAAATAAAAGAATAGAAAATAGATGATAATACAAGTGTAACATGAAAACTGCTTCCACTAATATTTGACTGTAGCATAGTCACATGAGTCGTTCTCCTTGTTAAAGGTTGCCATGGTAACAGCATCAGTAGAACTATCCGCATTCTGGCTAAAATTCACTGTTGAGTATGTTGGAACACTTTGAGGAGGTTCTGAGGGGTTTGTAGGTAGTTCAGCAGTAGAGTTGACTGTAGAAGCTCCAGCATCTGAGGACGAAATGTCTTTAACCTCCTCGTAGACACAGACATCACGGGAAACCTAAGAAGCAGAGATTAAATAGAACAACATTGGAAACTAGAGCTGGTCAATTTCAATTGAAGTGATTTAAACTATTTTACTCTTTATAGAGCAGTCAGACTAGTGGTCAATTGTCCATTTTTGTGTGAGTTAGATCAAAATTTCAGTAAATGACAGTCCATTATTAAATATGTCATTAGTTCATATCTGTTACAATGAGAACATGCTTTGAAATACAATCATGACTCACCGTGTGGTTGTCTGAGGAGCCTCTCTGTGATTGGCCTTTGGTTGAGGCTGGACCTGAGGAGGAAGAAAAAATCCATAATTTTAAATCAGCCATACATTAAGAATTGGAAAACACATTGTGCTCAATAGTAAATGACATATAATTTACTGGAGTCTGTTCTTACTCTATCTGTTTGTATGCATGATCATTTATAGCCAGCAGAGGGCAGCATCTGTCCATCACTGTTAGTCCACTGGGGCATAGTGAACTTTTTTTGGTCTCTAATGAATGTTTTTAATGGCTCATGCTGCACTCACTTCTGAACATAATGATCTGAAAATCCCTTGTAGAAAGTGTTTGGGAGAAACCAATAATATGTCCAGAGACCGAATGGAATTTGTCATTAATCAGCCCAAAACTACAGGACTGGAATTGTCTTCACTAAACATTGTTTCCTATGATGAAGTTAGTAGGTCAAATCACAATGTGTGCATGTCTAAGTATCCATTCTGTGTATATGTGTCTGTGTGATGGTACCTTGAGTCTTGTTTCTCCTTCTAAGAGTCACTGTGAAGAATAAGAGCCCAATCAGAAGCAGCAGCAGAATCACAGACACACCAGTGACCACAGAGGAAACTGGAAATGCTGGAGATGGAGAACCTGAATTAGAGAATCAGATACAAACAATAATCTGATCATTTAAAAGTGAACAAACTAACAATATAAGAGCAGAGGGACTTTATTTGTACATTTAGTGTTAATATCTGTAGCAGAGAGTCGAGGTGATGGGGGTTTAGGAGCTGAGGATGTGGTTGGTTTTGTGGTCAGTGAACTGATGTGTGTTGATGATAGTGATAGAACACCTGGAACTGGAGGGAAAATATCAGTTTGTTTAATTGTGTAGATGTCATTGTTGCTAACTGACTATAGTTTCCCAGGATGTATACAGTATAAATATTATACCTGTTGATGCAGTTGTAGAATTTGTTTCTGTGCTGTGTGGAGTTGAGCTTGATGGTGATGATGTTGCTGGTCGTTTTGTTAATGGAGATGATGGAAAAAATAGGCTTTTCAGATTCTTATATTGTCATTAAACTGTCCTTTTTTCTTAATGAGTAAGTTATATAAAATAAACTACTGAATGTAAGCAGATTAATTTAATTCATATCTACTCACCAGTAACTCTGAGGTTGATCTGTGTGATATAAACCTTGTATCCATGGTCCGATGCCCAGTCTGATTCAGCTCCACACCAGTATTCACCAGAGTCTCCCTCAATCAGACTTTTGATGATCACAGTGAAGACCTGCTTTGCTCTGTCATCATGTAGATACAGATTTCCCACATTTATCTGTTTTCTGCTCTCTTTAATAGATGTTTTATATTTACAGCCAGCAGAGCCCACTCTGCTACAGAGAAACTTGGGGTCACTGCTGTGGGATTTTGGGTATTTGCAGATGATGTTCACACTTCCTCCTACATGGCCAGTCACACTGATACTCTTCTCATAGTCTTGACCTGTCAGTTATAAACAATCAGTTGTAAATGCTCAAAATCACCTTCACAGTTTACAAAAAATATCCACCCATTTGTTCTGACTGTACAGGCATATTTGTATTTTTTAGCTGTCATATCTACACATTATTATGCCTCCTCCCTCTGCATATTCTGTCACTTCTTTGAAGGCCACACCCTTATTATATTTTCGGAGAAAAAGTATGTTGAGTAGAGTTTATTTGTTCCCAGGAGTTTACTGCATTCAATATGTTCACTGTCACTGTAGCTGATGATATGATGCTGGAAGTTTAGCATAACAAGTGCAGTGGTGGGAGAGACTCACCTTCCTCTACCTTCAGTTCCCACTGGAGTGTAGATGTCATTGTTGAAATCTATATGAACTCCACACTGGTACCGTCCAGAATCCTCTACAGTGAGATTACTGATCATCACCTTGAACACTGCAGCACTGGTGTTATCAAACAGTGAGGATCTTCCTGAATGTATCCACTCATTTTTAATATCTTTCTTGATTTGATCAGCACAGTTTGGTGCCGAACCCTTACAGAAATACTTTGTGTTTGATGTGTAGGTTGTATTATATCTACACTTGATGAGGACTCCTCCTCCTGAATATCCTCTCACTCTCTCTGATTCTCTTCCACCTACTAAAAGAGGACAAATGTCCATCTGAGTAAAGGCTTCATTTGACTCTGCTGATAGTGATGATTATATAGAAGAGCGTCTCCTTACCTGAAATCAGGAAGAGGGTGAAGATGAGGAGGATCTTCCTAGTCATTCCAGATTCGTCCATATTACCTCTGACAAAAGTGTATTAGATGTTCATGTCTTTAGATCCTCATCTCTGTTTTTGTGTTTCTCTGTCTGAGCTGTGTCTGAATCTATTCTTCTGCTTTTGGTTCAACTACCCAGAATGATAAACCCGCCCATTTCCCTTCAGCACCCGATGAGAGAAAGCGTGAACATTTTCTTCTCTTCCTGCTGTAACAGTGAAACACAACAGCAACAGTCATCATTAAACTTTGAACATATGTTTGTCAAACCATTTTTTTTTGCTACATTTACTGAGTCCTCACTTTGATTTGCTTTGTTTGGTCTATTACTGTGTTACAAACTACAGAGTTCACCAGGATTCTTTAGCACTTCATTGTGTTTTAAGTTAATCATCTCTGATTGACTTTCTTTTCTTGAAAGTTGTCTGATGAGGCCCTCAACTCACGTCTAAATATAGTTATATGTTTATTTCTAATACATTACAGCAGTGCTGTCATGTCATTTGTGAGCTGGTCTGAAAAAGGTCATCACTAGTGCCATCTAGAGTCCAACACGTAGAAAGACAGCTGTACTGTACTGCAGTATGAATGACCATAAACATGATCAGAACTCATAACACAGATCTGACCACCAAACTTACTCAAACACATTCAATGGAGGCAGAACTGCTGTAGAAACTCACTGCAACTTACGCAGTGATCTCAGTAAAGGCCTATTACAGTGAAGAGCTACAAAAGCAGAAACTCCTTCATGTAAGTATTTTAATATTTTAGCTCTGAGAGGATTTTAAGACCATATTTCTAAGAACAATGATGTTAAGACAGTAAGCATGTCTTAATTCATATTACACTTAAATGAATGCAGGAGAAATCCATATTCATTGACCATCCCTTAGTCTGTTTCAGTGTGTAGCCACTGTTTACTGTTATGCATGGATTGAGCATTTGATTAGTAGAACTGTCGGCTGGTTTCTCCAGATTAGCTGATAGTAATGAATATGTGTGACTTCACTGTTGAATATTCCTGTTCGTAGCATTGATTCTGTGCTGGTCTGTGTCAGAAGGCCTCTACTGCCATCTAGAGCACAATGTGTGTAACAGCAGCACTGAGCAATCTGCTGTGTCCTTTATGTGTCACAAATGTGATGAGAGAGTGGAATCCCTTTGTAATAACAATAGTTAATAAGACATGTATTAGCTCTTAAATCACAATATGACTAATAATGAACTAATCAAGTATTAATAGTCATTCATCATTATTTAATACAATCCCTTTTCACACAACAAGATGGAATGCTTGGAAAATGTAAATAAAAACGCTATATTTAATTGAAAGTAGTACAACGACAACATATCAAATATAGAAACTTTTTTTTTTTAGACTTATATGCTCATTTTGAATTTCGTGCCAGGAACACATTTCAAAAAAGTTGGGACGGAGGCATGTTTACCACTGTGTTTCATCACCTCTTCTTTTAACAACACTTTTTTAAGCTTTTGGGAACTGAGGAGACACTGCTGTAGTTTTGAATGTGAAATATTTGCTCATTCTTGATGTAGGATTTCAGCTGCTCAACAGTTCTGAGTCTCCATTGTCATATATTTGGTTTTATTATGCACCAAATGTTTTCAGTGGTGACAGGTCTGGACTGCAGGCAGGTCAGTTTAGCCCAGACTCTTTCACTATGGAGTAATGCTGTTGTAATACACAAAGAATGTGGTTTGTCATTGTCTTGCTGAAATAAGCAAGACTTTCCCTGATAAACACATCATCTGGATGAAAACCTGTATATATCATTCAGCATTAATGGTGCCTTCACAGATGTGCACCTCACTCATGTCATGTGCACTAATGCCCCCCTACACCATCACACATGGCTTATGAACTGTGAGCTGATAACAAGCCAGGTGGTCTTTAGTGCAGAGGACACAATATACATAAATTCCACTTCCCCTCAGTCCATCTTAAAGGTGCTTTAGCCCAGAGAAGGCGGCAGCGTTTCTGGATCCTGTTTATATGTGGTTTGCTTTTTGAATGGTAAAGTTCTAACTTGTATTTGTGGATGCAGTGATGAACTGTGTTCATAGACAGAGGTTTTCAGAAGTGTTTCTGAGTCCATGCAGTGATTTCCACAACAGTATAATGTCTGATTTTAATGCAGTGCCACCTGAGGTCCCAAAGATCTTTGCCAGCCAATATTGATTTTCAGCCCTGTTTCTTGCATACTGAGATTGCTCTGGATTTTCTGAATCTTTTAATGATATTATGTACCACAGATGATGAAAAGTTCTTTGCTATTTTGTGTTGAGAAGCATTATTCTTAAACTGTTTTTTATTTAATTATTTAATTTTTTTTTTTTTATAAAATTTGAACAGTGCACTCAAACCTGAAATCTGGAGTTGCAGCTCCCTCATCACCCATACTTCCCACTTTAGTAGTCTTACCGAGAGAAGTATAGAAAAGGGATTTAATGCATTGTAGAAATTTATGGTGCTACTCTGGTAGAAAAACCTCCACATATTCTCATATATCATCAAGTGTGAGAATGTCTGACCACATGGAGATTGAAAATATAAAAAGAATGTTTTTTTTTTCACACTTGGACACTTAATTTACTAAAATGATCCTTTGACGAACCATCATTTAAAGGTTCTTTTTTTCTATGCCATTGTGTCAAAGGACCCTTGTTGGCACCTTTATTTTTAAGACTGTATTGCCATCTAGAGGATAAAGGTGGGAAGTGTAAATGAGTGAGAACTCTATTCATTCTACCCACAAGTGAATAAAGCCTAAGAGAAGCTGTGAACATCATGTTCACATCATTCTACTAATCTGGAAATACCAGTTCATATTCATTTATTTATTCATAAATATTGAAAAAACATGCATATTAAAGTACATAATTAACGCTCCTGTTGTGTTCCAGTCAAACCTGACCGAATTACAAGTTTCCTCTTTAAAAAGTGTAGTAAATTTCATCTGTTTGTCATGAGGTTCCATGACTTTGTTCACATATGGTATCTGAACACCTAAAATAAATCTGAAATATTTTTATAAAAATTTGTGTGTTTTATGGAACTTGTATACACCCATGGTGTTCCCGGTCAAAAATGACCGGTTATTGGAAATGAATCTATAAGACTACAGTTAGTGTATAAAACAGAGTTCAAGCACATATCAAGCACATCCACAGCAACCAGAGACGGTGGAGTCAAAAGAAAGAGGTGCCAACTGAGTGCACCAAGAGATAAAAAAAAATAGCTTTGTGTGCCACAGGTGCGGTGTACATATATATGCAAAGAACATGGAATGACCACAGTATATTGCCCCACATGCTCGTGAGAGGACAAAACTGAGGAACATAAAGATAACATTACGGCACTGTCTTTTCAGAGTACAATAGAAAATTGTAATGTGCATACAGTGTATGGTTCAAGCATTTCTCTTAAACATTCCCTGTGGGCTTTTGTTTTCAATAAATAAATCATATTTCAAATCGGTTTTGACCAGGAACACAAAAGTTGTTATTTTGTGCCACAGTTTAGAAAACTTTTCAAAAAAGTGACTTTGGTAAACTTTGGTAAAGTGACTTTGGTAAACATTTCAGTGAAGTACTCTGTGACAAACACTACAATAGGTTTCATCTTAGTATTCGTTATAGTCAAAATAATATGTATATAATGTTTTTTCCCTAAAAAAACAAGCGGTGTAAGCTCAGGTAAATGAGGCCTGCAGGACATAAACAGCAAATACAAGTTCAAAACTTATAATGTTGACAAGAGCTGAAGTTCATAAAAAGATCTAACACAACATTAGGTGATAATATATGTATTATTGTTGATTTATAATGGAATAAAATGATCCCGGTCAAAAGTGACCGGTTTGACAGAACATGTCAAAGCTGAAGTTTTATGCTATCATTATTTGTCATCTCAGTAATACAATGTGCCAAATATCCACATTTCCATGTTTGTTTCCAGGTATTTTTTGGAAGATATCATAGTTTTTGCTGTCAAAACATTTTACGTCACACAGTACTTTTTGGTTTACCATGACATTTCTTGATTATGGAAAAATGACATTTTTATATCACTAAACAAAATTAGTCATGAAAACAAATGACAGCATATAATATCTGTCATTACATGTTTACAATGTGATTATGGCAATGTGATGTTGGAGGGTTCAAGTAAAAGATTAAAAGTTTCAAAAGTAAAGTTTTTGGTCAGTGTAAAACACTAACTTTAGTTGTGCTGCATGTAATATTTATAATCCTGTTTAAAGTTCCCTTCAACCTGATACATATTTATAATCAACTATTCAAACTGCTCTCTGATAGTGAACCTAGTAGGCTTGATTATTCAGACTGCAGACAGTTAAACTGTGCTGGGTTTCAGACTCTGAAAGACTGAAACTTATGGATAACTGGAAGTGTCTGGTAGACCGAATCTGATTGGTGAGTGGAGGAATCTGGTAGACTGAATCTGATTGGTGAGTGGAGGAATCTGGTAGACTGAATCTGATTGGTGAGTGGAGGATTCTGGCAGAATGCTTGTTACTAATTGTAAAAAGAAGCTGTAATGCACA